GAGTCCTCGGGGCTCTCTCTGCCGGTGGCTTGGGGCTCCCTGGATACATAGAGGGTGAGCCGAGGGCGGACGCACCTGCCGGGGAGGAGAGCGTGTGAACTGGAGTATCGGCGTGGGGCTCCGAGCGTTGATAAGCAGCAGGGCTGCAAGAGATGTGCTCCCCCAACGTGTACTGCACTAAGCCCAAGGGGCCACAGAAGCGACCGAATGAGGCCTGCATGAGCACGTATATGCACCTTTTACAAGTGGGGAAACCGAGGCACAAGGCGTGTGATGCAGTGGCAGCTGCCTACGGAGTGTAGTGGACCTGTGGCCTAACGTGCATCAAACAGCGCCCCTCCCTTCTCCTCCTGTAGGAATTCAGGGACAGCCCTGTCCAGGCCACCCCTGCAGCTCGGAGTGAGCCGTCCAGATTTGTGTTGCTGGGCCCAGAGGCGGGAGGGGGGTCTGCCAACGGGAGAGTGACGTCTTCGCCTCCTGCTAGGCATTGTGGGTGCGCCGGTGGGACGTGGCGCTGCATGAACCGAGCTAACCGGGTCCATGCTGGGCTCTTGGGGGCTGGGTGGGGTAGTGGGAACGTTGCCTAGGTCAGTGTTTTCAAACTTTCTGGCAACCCAGTTGAAGAAAATAGTTGATGGCCACGACCCAGTGGAGCTGGGGTGAGGAGTTTGGGGGTGGGAGCTGGGAGGAGGAAGAGGGTTGGGGCTGAGGGGCACAGGGTATGGAAGGGGCTACAGCACAAGATTGAGGGGCGGGGGGTCAGGGCTCCAGGCTGGGGGTTCAGGCTCTTGAGCCTGGACCGCAGGAGGGGAGCTCTGGGCTTTGGGGGGCTCAGGGCAGGGGATTGGGGTGCGGAGTTACCTCCGGCAGCTCCCGGGCAGCGGTGCAGCAGGGGGGTCTAAGGCAGCTTCCTGCCTCTCCCAATGCCGCAGACCAGGCTGCGCCCCACAAGCAGCCGGCAGCAGGTCTGACGCCAAGGTGCTGGTGCCCAAGCAGCTCCATGCGGCTCTCACCCACAGGCACCGCTCCCCAGCTCCCATTGGCCAGTTCCTGTCCAATGGATGTGTGGAGCTGGTGATTGGGGCGGAGCCAGTGTGTAGAGCCCCCCAGCTCTGCCATCCCTGTTGGGCTTCCCGCGGTGTCAGAGCCACCTGGGACTCGCCCAGCAGTTTTCAAAGAGCAGGCCAGGCCCCGCAGGTTGAAGGGGGCTGGGCTAGGAGAGGGAGGGGGGTGGGCCGGGATCACGCCCCTCGGAGCAGCCAGGGCCCGGGGATGAACCGAGGGGTTGCGGCGCCGGCTGAGCCCATCCCAAGAGCAGGCGGAAGGATGGTAACTGGGGAGCTTAGCGCCGCTCCGATTAGCTCGCCCAGACCAGGCTCCGTGGGCCCGAAGGAAGGCTCCTGCCCAGGCTGGGACCCACGCCCCGTGTCCTGAGCTCAGCAGCACCCAACCAGGTCCCTGTGCAGGGATCCCATCGCTCCCTGGCTGCCAACACTTGGCCCCCATCTCGCTCGTCTCCCCTGCAAGCCAGGCTGTCGAGACCCCGGCATCCTGCCCCCCAGGAGGGCGGAGGATCTTGCCCCAGGCGCCAGCGACGGACAGAGGAGACAGGGACCCTCCCTCTAAGCTGTTGCTGGAGGAGGCAGAGCTGTGACTTGGTGCAGCAAAGGGAGCACTTACATTGTAAAGCTGGTGGGGCTTTTCCTTCTGTTTGTACAGCACCTAGCGCAAGCTACTGCAATCAGTGGGCTCCGTGTCGGCCTGAAAACTGCAGGAGAGGACCCCATGTTCTCCCCCCACTTGCCCGCCCTGGCTGCAGGGCTCCCATTCGCACCTGGCTTTCAGCGCATTGGAGAGCCGGATTCCATCTGCGGCGCCACAGATCTGGATGAGGTCGCTGCGGGACAGCTTTTGTACAGCACCTAGCGCAAGCTACTGCAATCAGTGGGCTCCGTGTCGGCCTGAAAACTGCAGGAGAGGACCCCATGTTCTCCCCCCACTTGCCCGCCCTGGCTGCAGGGCTCCCATTCGCACCTGGCTTTCAGCGCATTGGAGAGCCGGATTCCATCTGCGGCGCCACAGATCTGGATGAGGTCGCTGCGGGACAGCTTCAGCAGGTCGGCTCCTGGAGAGAGAGGTGGCTGGTGTGACCATCCCAGGATGCAGCCGCCCCCCGTGGGG